TTGTATATGCTTATTAGATCTTGGTTTAAAAATAAAAAACAAAAACTTTTTTTAATTAAAGCGAAGCAAAAAGAAAAGGGAAATTTTAGAAATCTTTCATAAGCATCAGGTAAATAGTTGTTGAGAGACAATCCTCCAAGACATTTTGTCTGGACTGTTTTTGAAACAGAAAACAGCCTTGGAGCCAGAGAGGAAAGAAAATCTAAATACACTAGAGAAGCAAGAGGAGCCGCTCTTGCCTCAGGAGCTTGGGAGCCAAGAGATTTCCTAAGGAGAAAAGGAGGATTACAGAAATTGAAGAGTCACGGTGAGACACTAAGGGGGAGTCTCCCGAAGGCCCTGGGGTTCTGTCGTTCTTGACACTCTCCAGGTTTGGACGGATCTCTGAGGCTTGGTCTCTGTGTCTTCCAGCCTTGCAAAGTTACTTTTTTTTATGCTTCCTCGGTTACTTTGAATTTCTGTTTCAAAACTGTCAAAGTCATTGACTATCAGTAATTTACTTCTGTTTGCCTGCATGTATACAACATTTTTAACGAAACACACATGATGGGAAAGTGTTCACGTCAGTCCTGGGGGTGACTTGATGAACTTTCTACTCCAGTGAATTTCTTACAGCAAGTAAGGTAATGAGTCATCCTCATGGGACACCAGCAGACCTAGGCCCAGGCTAACATTTTCCTGTTAGCTCAGTAAAGATTAAAGAAGAAACACAGAAGGAGACAGAGAGTGAAAGGTAGAGGTGGGGGCGGATGGACAGACAGACAGACAGACACAGAGAGAGGTGACAGGTGTCAATCCACAGATGGGCAGAATTCAGACTCCTAGCTCTTTCAGAGAAACTCGTGGTTTAGCTGAGATGATGGTTTTTCAAGAAAATACTACCTAAGTAAATTTCACTCTGGAACTTAGCAGCAGTTCTTAGGCTCTCACAGAAACTCCTTCAAGGTTCTCTGAACTTGACTATTGTGCCTCTCCTTGCTGCTTTGTGGGCAGAGCCTCACATCTGCAGTCTCGCTGGCATTCCTGAGAGTCTGTGGGTATTCTCCTGTGGTCCCCAAGGAGGAACTGTCAAAGAATCCAGCTTGTATTCAGTAGCTATGCCAGATATTTTACCTATGGCGTCTCTTACTCCTGGGTCCTCGGTCTGTGACCTACTTCTCTTACTAAAAATGGATTCATAAGTTTAGTCTCAAAGGAATCTCTGCTGAAAAATAATTTTAAATCAATTATTTTGTATCACTTGGATTCCCAATTGTATATTTAAAAACCTTAGCAAACCTTTGCCTATGGCATAGTTACTTGTATCAGATATGATCTCTTGAACTGGGTATATTAAAAAAACCGGTTCAGACATTGAGAAACGTTTAGCAGGAGGCTTTTATCTCCAAAGAGGTCAAAATATCAGTATAAACAAGTGCATATCTTAACCAGAAAGGTTTGAAAGTGTGTTAATCATTGAAGCTCTATAAAATAGTTGAAAGGAAGAAATAAGTTTACATTACTGTATTTGATAGTAGGAGAATCTGCTTAGATTCAGCGAAAATACAGCTCCAGCCCTCAGTGACCTAGGGACAAAATGCAGTTTACACTGGTCACAGACCCAGAAGAAAGGCAGAGTTTCATTTGGTATTATGCTTGCTTATGTATTCTATGTATTATGTAATTATATAAATAATAATTGTGTATTATATATTCTCCTGTACAGATGTTTAAGTTTTTTTCTCCATAATATTGATTTCTCATTGCCTTTTTAGCTTAACATAATATCCCATTGACCTAATTTTTCTTTCGTTTCCTTGCTTTTAAATTTTATTATTATCATTATTCCTCAGTATAAAATGCTTACTTCCCTCCCAAATTCATGACCACCTCTTCTTTAAACATTGTTCTTACACATACATATAAATTAATCAACATATGAAATAAAATGGCTCAGTGTTGCCTGTATGAATGCTTCTAAGCACTTGGTACTGGATAACCAATGAGAGGGCTTGCTCCTGTGGAAGACTCCTCCCTCTCTCAGCAGTACTAACTGTCAAGGAGTAAGCCCCAGTGAGACGTCCCCCATCTGCATTGGGATGTCAACTGCTGTTGGGATTGCTCAGGTCTTGTTTAGGCCGCCATGTTGTTGAGACTTTGTGGGTGTAGCTTCCCGTCGTAGATAGAAGGCACAATCTCACAGTGGACTTCTGGTTCTGTGGCTCTTACAGTCTTTCTACACTCTCTTCCAAGAAGTTCCCTGAGCCTTGCTGCTAGAGTTGTGTTGGCGGTGTCATCAGCTGAGTTTGGACAGTCAATTGCTCACTGCATTTTGACTTGTATAGCTTTCTGTATTGATTTACTGGGAAGGAAGGAAAGGAGGGAGGGAGGGAGGGAGGGAGGGAGGGAGGGAGGGAGGGAGGGAGAGAGGGAGGGAGGGAGGGAGAAAGCTTCTTTGGTGAGGGATGGACTCTACACTTATCTGTGGGTATAAAGGTTAGGTATCTACAATGCAGTTAGGAATTATACTGGTTCCAGAAACCAAAGGAAGCAGGTCTTCTAAGATCCATGGTCTCAATAGGTATACATGGTTGATTAGGCTTGCAGTACCAGGCATGATTTCCCTTCTGTTAAGCAGGCCTGAGTATAATTACATTCATGTTGGTTATTGTTATAATGTGGGCACCACTATTGTACCTTTAGGTATATCTTGGCATGTTGATCTTGGTTGTAGTTCATACGTATCATAGCTGGGTAGGACCATAGATTTTAGGGAACTGCTTTTTTTTTTAATTTCAGGGAGCTGGGGATATTTATGTGCCATTTTATTCTATTTCTAGATTTATTGCTTACAGTTGTGAAACTGTTGGTATATTGTTTGAGAATTATGTTCTGCCTTTCTTTAGGTATGTTCAGACATTAAATCAGATGAGTGGGCTTGTCAGGAAGATGGTTTTGTACCTTTAGGATAACTTTCCACAGAGCTGATCAAATCTCTTCTACATGTCGTCTCTTTTATATTTTAACACTAGATGGAAACCTTATTTTCTCATTTTTCCAAGCTATTTGTAAGGCATTTCCGTTTCCCTGTGTGCTGTACTTCCTCCATATGGGTAAGGACACAAGTCTGTTATCACATTTATATTTGGATTAAGTGGTTTAACATATGAAAAACACTTAACGTTGCCCATGGAGCATGGAAAACCCTTAAATAACAGGGTCAAGTAATATATTTTCTTTTTTCTGAACCTGAGGTCTTGCTTTAGTGAGATTCCACAACGATAGACACAATGGTTTCCGATTACTTAACTTCATTCTAACTGAGAAACCACAGGACAAAAGACGAAGAACAAAGAAAAAAAGAGACCAAAGTCTCCTGGACAGAGACGAGAAATCAGACGTGTGCACGTGTGATGTTATGACTTTATGCTGTTCTCCTTCAAAGAAGAGTCAAGTCCGCTTTAACACATTTCCCATGCATCTCTGGGAGAATACGCAGGCAGAGTTGCTGAGTGGTGTCTCCTGCCTTAAATTCTAAGAATGACAGACATTTCCTATTTTCCCCAAATTGTTGTTCTTGACTGTCAAATGGCGTAAATACCCAGGGTTGGGTCTTTCGCGTCTTGTCCAGCTGTGGTACAAATTCCACCTCCGCTACTCAGTAACTAAGCGCTTCAGGACCTATGATCTGTGATCATTACTGTGCACCTATCTTGGGGCTGGAGAGGTGGCTCAGGGGTTAAGAATTTATTCATTGCTTTTGCAGAATACAGGGATCGGAGTCCCACGTAGCAGCTCAGAGTGGTCGGTCCTTAACTCCGGTCCGAGGGTATCTGACAACCTCTTCTGGCCACCTGGCCTCCATGGGCAATAAATACGTGCACCACCCGCGTAGTGCGCGGACACACACGCAGGGAAATCAACCACGCACATAGAAAAACAACAACAGCAAAGCCCTGCAAACTTCAAAAATAATTTTTAAAAAAGCCCACTTAGGGAATTGTTCGATGGCTTCAATGAGCCGGTGTAGACGCATGAGCACTAAGCAAGTGGTCTTTAGCAAGGCTCGTTTAAAACGTGAGGATGGCATTTATTTATTCTCACTGCAGGTCCGCCAAAAACTAAAATAAATAAATAAATAAATAAATAAATAAATAAATAAATAAATAAATAAATAAATAAATAACAGCCGCAGCAGGCCTTCCTGCCCTGAGTTCTCAAGCTAGGTCACCTTGCAAACAGCCTGACCTTCAGAGTCCAGACCTGGCGAGAGAATCACATCAGACGGGTTAAGTTCATGGCTACACACAACGCTCGAACGCCTCTCTCGTGAGGGCGGATGGAAACCGGACCGTGGGGTTCGGTGAACGCGGCTGCCCAACACCTCTCCTCCACTTCCAAGGGTGTTCTCTGAGCCCTCGGGAGAGAAAACACCGATGGGGGCTAAAGGCCACCTAGCACGGCGGTGGCAGCAGCCCCAGGCTAGACAGCCACGGCCGGGGCGCCGGGGCTCTGCTCACCGGGGTAGGCGTCCTGCCTGGCCTGGGCCGCCCCTCTCCCTGCCCCGGGGTCCTCACCACGCGGGCTGTGGGCCCCGTCTCCCTCCCCATCGCTCCTCCCCTCCCCGCAGCCGCGCGGCACAAACCTTCCACAATCACTCGGCCATCCCCGCCACCCTGGGCTCCGGCCCAAGCCCACGGGCAAACCCGCACCCACTCTCTCCCCCGCCCCCGGGGGGAACCCAGGCCGGCTCGGGCCAGCCCAGACCCACGCGGCATCGGTCCATCCTCGGCGGCCAATCGGGACCCCGGGCGCCGAGGCGCCAGCCAATCCCAAGCGAGCACACGTTGCTCTGGCTACCACTTCCCGGAGGTTCCCCCGCCCCGAGGGTCCGCGGGGAGGGGCGGGGCTGCGGGCGCGGCCCCACCCCCACCGCCGCTTTGCTCCACCTCCCCACCCCTGCTGCCTTCTGATTGGCTGGGGCCGGGAGGCGCCCCGCGCCCATTGGCTGCTGCGGGCAGCGCCTGGGCGGGCTGGGACAGAGCTTGGCGAAGCGCGGGGTTGCAGCGGCGGCGGCGGCGGCGGTGTCCTGCGCTTGGTGGCCGCCTTGGCATCCCCAGGTAACGGCCTGGAGGGAGGCCGGGCGGGCGGGCGGGTGCGGGTGAGACCGGAGCTGGAAGCACAGCCGCGAGCGAGCCGAGCAGGCCTCAGTGTCCTCACCCGGGCAGCGGCGACCTCAGAGCTGTGGGGAAGGTCCCCAGGGCGGGCGTGGTCCTCGGGAGGGGTGCCAGGGCCACGTCCTGTCGTGGAGCTTCCACGGGGGCACAGGGTCCCCCAGGAGACTCTCTTCCCCGCTGCTCAGTAGCTTGCCAGTCCCCGTAGTTAGTAACTCAGGGAAGTTTGCTGCTGCGGGTCGCCTCCGTGTCTGCCTAGGGGAGGGCGTTGGGGGTCTGCGGGCTCGGGAGGTGGGGAGACGGCCTCAAGTGCGTGCTCTCCAGTACGTAAAGTCTGCGGGGTCTGCGGGGCCAGCCTTTTCAGGTCGACCCGTGAACTCGGGTCAAAGGGCTTGGCTTGGAACTTCTGCTCCCTCACCTGTTTGCCTTTGGAATCCGGAACGAATAATTTGACTTTTTCCCCCACGGCAGCAGCTTTCCCTTTCTGCAGAGTAGCGGAAAGGCCGGGTGAGGCTCTTCAGGCTGTCGTGGTAATCCCACGGACGGGACCGTGTAAAACTGTCAGAAAGGACCAGCCCACATCACAGGGCGTTAACTACTTTAAAAAGTGCCCCACAACGAGGGCCAAAGAGCGTTAACGAGTTGAACCCTGGATTAGGCTCAAAGCTGAGACTACTGGAGTCTCTGGAATGTAAGCCTTGCCCGTTGTGGGGAGGGTCAAGACTGTCAGGCGAGCATTTGAAAGGGGGCCATTTATGCACACCGCAGAAGTGCGCTCTCGTGCCAGCATCAAAAAGTGCGTAGCTACCGTACTTAACTGGAGTTAGAGAAGTTAAACTGGTGGTTCAAGATAGATTGGAGATGGAGCATTTGTTGACATTTTTTTTATGTTGGAACGTATAATTTGATAGCGCCTTAGTTTGCTGTCTTGTTGAAGAAAGTGTGTGGCTTCCAGATTGACATGATGCACGTAAAAACTGTATTAGTTGAATAATGGAAGATTAAAAGTTCAGATGCTTGAAAGTCTTTAGTAAGTGTAGAAGAACAAATAGCTGTGGGGATGTTTAAAGCATTTTCTTTTCAAACTTTTGTGCATTGTGTGTGTGTGTGTGTGTACGTGCACACATGGCCAGGCTCATGCGATATGTGTGGATGTCAGAGGACAACTTTGGGGGTCATTTTTTTGGTCAAACTCAGGCACTTTTAATCACTGAGCTGTTTTGCGGGTCCTAGAATGTCTTGTGTTTAAAAGAGAGCCTATTGCTATTTCATTGAGGCATATAGTTGAGAACAACTGGAATTTTGTTAGTCAAGACTTTGTTGCTAATACATAGCACCAGGAAAATCTTCCCAAGCCCCCGTAGTTTCCCTCCAGAAATATGGACAGAGAAAACATAAGCATAAAGGTTAACTCGAAAAAGATATAAAGTGGACAATAATTAACTCTTGGCCTGATACTGACAGGATTTATGACCTTTTGTGTGAGGTTGATAGAGTTTGGTGCCTCTTATCTTTGATGCTTATTATGGTTGGAGAAATTTCTGATACAACGTCAAGGGATAAAAGATTTCGTTAGTAAGAGGAAATTCAAAGTGGTATTTAAAGCCGTTTCTGGGTTTGCCGTTGGCAGGAGGGCATTTTATCAGGGGAGAGCCATTCTAGAATATGTTTAAGAGAGGCGTTCAGACCCACACATCCAAACCCAGGCAATTCCATTATTTATTCTGGACTTCCGTGCAGGAACTAACTGCTGCGTGAAACACTTCAAGGATTAAAAGAGAACTTTTGATGTTATATTTACTTTAATCTCTGCCTCCTTCTTCAGCAACCTTAAAGAGACTATTAATCAGTTTCTAGAGTTTCATTAATTGCCACAGAGATTTAAGAGACAGAATAAGTCAAAAGCTGGGTTCTATCTATCTCCACTTTTTTTTTTTAACTGGATACTGGTGAATACTTAGTAGTAGACCCTGAGAAGCTGTTCATTCTTCATGATAATGGGGAGTCTCTGTGTTCAGAAGTTCACAGATGATTGGTGTTAATGGCAATACATATTTTATTCGTTGGGTTTCTACATCATGCTGGTCAGAAAGAGCACAGCCCTCAACAGCTCTACCTTATATTCCAAAAGATTCAACAGCTAAATGATAGCCTATAAATGAATAGTTGCAGTGTGGACTGTAAGAAAACACTTGGAGGGAGAGCTAACCCAAATTAAGCAATTACGGTCTGCTGCACATACCGTCTTATGTCGGTGAGTACCTGTGAATAATTGTTGAGGCAAGTGTGTTACAGTTCCAGACTCTCATCTTTATAGGTAGCTTGTACTGCTGACATTTCCATACCGGCTTTGTACAAAGCTAGTGTTTGAGTATGGTGATAGTGGCTTTCCATTTCATTTGATTTCTATCAGAGAATTCTGAAAAAATTAAAGTTCGTATCTTCCACCCACAGGAAGCTAGCAGGGCGCCTCTGAGTTTAAGGAATGTGACCTAATCACAATGTCCCAGTACTGGGTACATTTCTTTTTTATAAGCTGGCCAAGAATTTGCACTTGCTTATACCACACCCTTGAGTACGGTCACTGTACTGGTTGTTAAGCTGGCAGGTTCTTGAGTGGTAGACTTTTGGAATGAGCTCATCCACTTTCCATGGATAGGTGTAGTCTATACTTAGAAGTTTATATTACTTTTCTGGATCTCAAGTTTTAGGTTGAGTTTTTTCATGTATACGTTCTCATCTCTCTACTTAATTTTAGAATTTGAGGGTTCTATACTCTACATTGTGATATTTAAATATTGGCTACAGTTTTTATTTATTTCTGTATCCTTTAGTTTTTTGATTAATAGTTCTGGGCTCTGGCTGGAAGATAGAATTATTCATGAAGTTTTTCCTGGTTCTGTTTTCAGTGATTTGATGGTGTTATAATGGACAGCTTTCCTCTGTTAACCTTTTACAGGTTTGGAAAGAGCAAGGATGATGTGGGAATTATGCCAAGAATTAGTATCTTGGCATCAAAAAAGTAATAAAAGGATCTTGTATGTGGGGGGAAAATGTCAACAGTGATATTGAAAGCCACTCAGTGTTCTGGGTGAGAGGCATATTCAATGACAGAGACCTTTGCTCTGTTAGTTAGGTGAGGTGGTTAAATCAGCTTAAGACACTGCCAAGCACTATGAGGACTGCAACAAAGATAAAACAGTAACTTGCACAAGTCTTGGTAAGGACAGGAGTTTTAACAGCAGTTGGCATTGCAAGTAGTTAGACGTGCTCCAGTTTGGAACCTAGCAGTTCAGGCGGAGGAAAAACCAAGTCCAAAGATCAAAAGTCTTGACAGGCTTAGACTGAGGAATATAAAACCCTAGGAAATAGGACACTAGGCAATGAGGGATGGTGGTGTGAATAGGAATCTTTATTAACCATTAAGGGTGAATCCCAGCCCTTGGGAATCAATGTCACTTTAATAATAAACTAAGATGTGGCTGGACATATAGAGATTCTCCTTCGGAGCAAAGCTCTAAGTAGGCCTCTGAGTGTGGACTTTGGAACTTCCGGAAGAGCTGGAATACCTGAGAGCCACCTCCTCCCTCTTCTTCCATCTGCCTCTTTTTATTACTTTATAGGAGTGATTCTAATGACAAAGGTCTGCTTATTGTCCTTGGCTGTAGATTGTTGATCTCAGACTCTCAGGGAAAACTTATACCCAGCTCCTGCTCGCTCTCAGAGTACCTGGTCAGTTCACTGGGACTGGAGTGCAGGTACAGCTGTCCTCTATAGCTCCCCCAGGAGAGCTTATTCTGAATAACGATTTGATTTATCTTGGTTTCTATAACAGGAAGATCAAAATGGAAGGCCTGTCTGATATTGCCTCTTTTTCAACTAAACTTCAAAACACTCTGATCCACTATCATAGCATTGAAGAAGATAAGTGGCGAGTTGCCAAGAAAATGGTAAATATATGTAATTACTGTTTGGGTATTTAGTGTATGATCAGTGAATTGTCTGATGACTTTTAAAGTAGTAGGAAAAATATGGATGAGAAATGATGTGTTGAATGGACATGCAATGAATAATTCTACAGATGGAATGGTGGGGTGTCTTGACAAGGAAGGAACCCATTAGCACTTTACTTGTTGGACTTGAAAATTGGTTCATGGCAATGAGAGCAAAGAACAGTTTTCCCGGTCAACAAAGGAAGAGTTTAAGGAAGCATGGTCATTGAAAGTTTGTTCTCATGTCAGATGTGTCAAGAGTTTGTGAGGGGCCAGTTAGCATTTGACAGAAGCCAGCCTCTCCTCTAGGTCTGTAATTTTATATTTAAAGTCGGTTGGGAAGTGATGGAGGAAAAGATGTAGGAGCTAATTCAAGATAAAGTAATCACAATAAATGTGAAATTATTTAATTTTAAAAAGGCATGGGCAGTTTGAGGATGAAACATACAATGTTCCCAATAGAGTAGACTAAATGTGTCAGTACTAGTGTATAGCTAAGACTGGAATGAAGAAAAAACAATAGCCACTAATATAGTGCTGCCAATGAAATTTAAAGTCTTTGAATCTCTAAGCTACTGGAAAATCTTTAAGTTGTATAAGTATGGAGTGATACAGAAGAAATTCAAATACAGGTATCTTTGTGGCATAAGTAACTACTCGCTCTGAAAAATTGCTTAAGTTGTTTTTAATGCAAATTAAGTGCTCTAACCTTACAGAATTGATTTTGCGTATAAGATTCCACCTATGTGATTATCACCATATAATGTTTATATTTTTCTAGAAAGATGTAACAGTTTGGAGAAAACCCTCAGAAGAGTTTAGTGGGTATCTGTAAGTAAATTCTCAGTTTTATAACTCACACATTATATCACATGATCACAGTAGAATTTAGCTTTTATTTTTATGGGTTTTAAACTTTCTGAGAAACAAATTGATCATATAAATTCAAAGCCTTAAAATGGCCACATTGCATTGGCCATCAATAATAGCAGTAGGCAAATAAAAATCTGAATTTCATAGCATGGCATACATGACCCTTCTAACAGTGTACATTGCTAAGTGTTACAGGACTTTTTTAAATGCCTGGAGACAGGGTGGCCTTGAACTCACTGTGTAGGTCAGTCCTCATGCTCACGTGGTGCTTTGTGCTTCCGTTTCCTGAGTGTATAAATTCCTACACCCAGCTAGCATCCTATTGCAATACTCACATTGAAGATCCCATCAGTAAGATAATAGTGATTTAGATATTTGATGTTTCATCATGGCATTATTATGAATGTTAAGAACTAGGCATCTTGATAGTAAGTTATGAAAATATCTGTACTTGGTAGAATGTTGGTAGACTTTAATTGTGTTTTAAAAGATTATTTAATGATATAAAAATGCTCGTAATTTGTGACTAAGACAGAATTCATCTCTAAATAGTAGTATATGAATAACTATTCTTCTCCCTTTTATTCTGATAGTTGAACATGAAGTATGCCTATAGTCAAGAAAAGCATACTGGTTTTTTTAAAAAGTTAGAATAGACAGTTGCCATATGGGAGTGAAGTAAAATGTTCAAATCCTTAGGGCTCAGCCCTTTTTAAAAATGAAGCTGCTGGCCAGGTGTTGGTGGCACACGCCTTTCATCCCAGCACTCAGGAGGCAGAGGCAGGCGGATCTCTGTGAGTTCGAGGCCAGCCTGGTCTACAAGAGCTGTTTCAGGACAGGCTCCAAAGCAATACAGAGAAACCCTGTCTGGAAAAAAAAAAAGGCTGCTGGTCCCACTTAGTCTATTTCCAGAAAGATGAGTGGTACAGTATTGCTGACATGGATGGCGCAGTGAAGTTGGATCAGCATTGTAGGCCGTCTGTCTGGGAATTAGTCCTTTAGGTCAGCCCTTTCAGCTGGGATTGAAAGGCACAGAAAGTGCTAAGAGAGCTCTGTGCTACTGAGACTTAATAGATGTTTCTTGAGAAACGAAGGGCTAATTCATATTCCAGGTAAAAGAGTTGTCTCTGCTCCTTAAATGTGGATGAAAAATGTATCTAGGGAAGAAGCCGCACCTCCACAGCTGGCAGGTCCAGCTTGGGGGTGAGGGGACATGCTTCTGAAGGGGGCCTCACTCAGTACAAAGGAGCGCAGCATTGCCTGCCCTCTGCCAACCCCCATGCTTCCTCTCGGGGTCCTCCCAAGGTTTTGTGTTAGGGGAATAACATTGAGAAAGGCGGGAGTGATTCAGTGAGAACTTAAGAAAGGAGCTTCTTGGCGTCCCTCTGAGTTGCATACAAGTTTGTGACAGTATGCAGCTTTCTAGGGAAAGACCTGTCACCATTCTCAGATTGATGGCAATCTAAGGGGTGAATAAAATGCTGTCTTGTTAGTGTTCACTCGATAGCAGTGATGCTGAGTGTATCTGTTCCCCTTCCAGATTATCTTAGCATGTGCTTTGCCCAGCTTCTTTCTGTTGGGTTATCAGTTCATTAATTTTAAAGGAATTGTGTACGTATGTATGTATATATGTACATATATATATCATCTTTTCTAATAACTTTTATCCCATTTATATGTATTATATACATCTCTTCCATGACTAAAAAGTTCTTAAAACCAGTGTAGTCATGTATGGGCGTTACGGGTGTAGTTTTTGACATTACAAGGAGACAGAGCCTCACTGCGAACGCCCAGATCCTCTTTCCTCCCCTTCCATAGTGTTCCTTGAGCCTTAGGTATAGGAGTTGTTTTGTAGATGTATCCCTAAACATGAGCGCAACAAGGACAGCGACATGCCAAACTGGATCGGGAGAAGCCAGGAGGCGTCAGGTCTGCCCAAAGAACTACAGCAACGAAGGACTGCTGAGAGCGGGGACGCCGTCTGTAGTTCCCCAGATAGTCAGCCTGGAAACACACACACAATACTGTGCAGACTGAGCATGCTCCGTCTGTAGTTCTCCAGATAGTCAGCCTGGAAACACACACACAGTACCGTGCAGACTGAGCATGCTCCGTCTGTAGTTCTCCAGATAGTCAGCCCGGAAGCACACACACAGTACCGTGCAGACTGAGCATGCTCCGTCTGTAGTTCTCCAGTACCAATAGTCAGCCCGGAAACACACACACACACACACACACACACACACACACACACACACAGAGTACCGTGCAGACTGAGCATGTTGTATTTAGGAGACACACGCGCGCACGCGCGCGCACACACACACACACACGCACACGCACAACTATTAATGAATTTGAAAGGGCAGTGGGGTGTATATGGGAGAGTATGGAGGGGAAAGGGAAAAGGAAAAATGAGTCAGGCAACAACATACATGCACTAGTGTTTGAGAATTGAGAATACTAAGGAGAGGACAGTATTCATGGAAGTTTGGGACATCACTGTGTTTATGGTGATGTAGTATAGCTTTAACAACTTTAAGAACTAATTAGCTTGAGGACAAAGGACATATTTTGATAAAATAATTGGTAGAAATTTTTTTAATTAGACAAGTTGTTAGGATATCTTTCCTTTATAAAAACTTCGTTAAGTGAGAAATACATGGCCCCCCTCCCAAGAAGGGGAAAGGAGCAAGATCTCCTGAGTAAATTGGGAGCATGGTGGGAGGGAGGGAGGGAGGGAGGGAGGGAGGGAGGGAGGGAGGGAGGGAGGGAGAATGGGAAGGGGGAGGAGAACATGAGGGGATCAGGAAGGTTCAGTTGAGGGAAGGACAGAGAAGGAAAGAGACCTTGATAGAGGGAGCCATTGTGGGGTTAACGCGAAACCTGGCACTAGGGAAATCCCCAGAATCCACAAGGATGACACCAACCAAGAATCTAAGCAATAGTGGAGAGGCTATCTTAAGTTCCCTTCCCCTATAATGAGATTGATGACTACCTCAAATGCCATCCTAGAGCCTTCATCCAGTAGGTGATGGAAGCAGAAGCAGAATCTGGTTGTAGAGAGGGAGGAGTGATGAGCAAAGGGGTCAAGACCATGCTGGGGAAACCCACAGAGACAGCTGACCTGAGCAAGTGGGAGCTCACTGACTCCAGACTGACAGCTGGGGAGCCTGCATAAGACAGAACCAGGCCCCCTGAACTTGGGTGTCAGTTGGGCGTGGGCAGTCTATGCTGCTGCTGGCAGTGGAGCCAGTATTTATCCCTAGTGCGTGAACTGCCTTTTTGGAGGCCATTCCCTATGGAAGGATACCTTGCTCAGCTTAGATACAGCGGGAAGTGCCTCAGTCCTGCCCCATGGAGACAGACTTAGATGATTCCCCATGGGAGGCCTCACCCTCTCTGAGGAGTGGGATGGGGAGACGGTGGGGGGATGGGAGGACAGGAGGGAGAGGGAACTGGGACCAGAATGTAAAATAAGATTGTTTTAAATTTAAAAAGTTTTTCTCTTATTTTCAATGTTAATTCTGCACTGAAATTTTTCATTTTCCTTTGTTTCTTTTATTGTTCTCCAGCTACAAAGCCCAAGGTGTTATGGATGATGTTGTCAATAGTGTAATAGACCACATACGCCCAGGACCGTGGCGCTTGGATTGGGACCGGTTAATGACATCACTGGATATTTTGGAGCACTTTGAAGAGGTATCTGTTTAGGAAAATTACTACAGAGGCTGTGTGTGTGTGTGTGTGTGTGTGTGTGTGTGTGTGTGTGTGTGAGAGAGAGAGAGAGAGAGAGAGACAGAGAGAGAGAGACAGACAGACAGAGACAGGGACAGAGAGACAGACAGACAGAGACACCACACGTCATTGGTGAGTATCCACATTTGTTCCACATTTGTATATGATACATTTATTGCATTAATATCCTTGCTAATAGTAGTCATGGCAAAGACCCTGCAGGAGATTCTTGTGCTGCCTTTCAAAAGCTCGTTTCTCCTTTTATTTTATTTATGTCTTTATTAAGGGTCTAAAATCTCAAAGACAGAAAAACACCATCCCTGTATTTAGGTTTCTAGATTAAATGTAGATTTTCCAGCTATATTCAATTAAAATCAAAGGCCAGAGCTAAAAAAAAAAAAAACATTGCCTTAAGTACCAGACAATTATCTAGTCAAAGGGCCTTCTTGTTAGCTGTTTTTACTTGGCTACATTAATTGAATTAGCCTTCTCTAATTACAGATTTAGATACCGATTATATCTCTGTATTTTCATATATCATCATGTTTTTATAGTATCATTGACATTTAGAAAAGAGATTATCCATTTTGAAACCACTGTAGGATTACTATTCTTATATCAAAACATTTTGAACGAGTGTCAGTTCTTACTAGAGATTGCTCTTGGTAGATGACTCTACGTGTCTGAGATGACACCAATCATATGCCGATGACTCTACGTGTCTGAGATGACACCAATCATCTGCCTGTTTTCTTTCTAGAATTGCTGTGTGATGCGTTACACCACTGCTGGTCAACTGTTGAATATTATTTCCCCAAGAGAGTTTGTTGATTTCTCCTATACTGTGGGCTATCAAGAAGGACTTTTATCCTGTGGTAATAACCTAAAATTCTTGTTCTTTCTTTAAGTCTACTCCAGATATTTAAGTTTTTACCCGAGTCCTTTCATATAAGGTATATTTTTAATCTTCAGTTATTGCTATTTTTTTAAATGCTAAACTCTAGGGAATGGATGGCAAACTAAATAGCATAAATTTATGACAACATATATTAATTGAGAATATATGTTATTGCATATTACCACATTTTTTTCATTTTGTTATTAATTGAATTTGTTCTTTGGCAGTTTCACCCATGGACATAATGCATGCTGACTACTCTTCCTCTCCCTGTTACGACCTTGTCTACCCAGATTTTTCTTATGTGTCCCTTTCTCACACTTATGTCTCCTCATTTTGTTTGGAGCCTGGTGGGCTCAGCAGTCTGCACACAGCTGAAATGGCCCTTTCCCAGCATCTGTCAGGGTTCAGCAGGGATAGGCAGCATCCCATGAGCCTCTTCCTTCAGGGGCTGACAGGGCCGTGAAGATGACTGGAGTTGTGAGTTCAAGACTGCAGCAGTTGTATTGAGCTTAGAGGATGGCATTTTGCAGCCCTTCACTATTTGTTCTGCCTGTAGCAAGCCCCTCCCCCTACTAGAATGTTCCGTGGGTCTTTCTAGTATAAATGTCTTGTTTAAGGATGAGTCCTCAACCATTTCTGATAACTTGTTATTCACAGCTACAAAATGTCCTCTACTTCATGCATAACATAAATAGATAACGTGACTGATTCTGAGAAAGGGATCCAATAATTGACATTTCAGTCTAAGCGTCTCAAAACAGTTTCTTGGTATACATGTATGCACATGTGTATGGTAGACTTGAGATATATATACTGTTTTTTTAATTAAAAATGCTGCCACTGGAAGCCTCCTATTTTTAAAATGTGTAGGTAAATTAATACTTTGATATATGTAGTATAAACTTGACTTGTAAGTTGCTATCTACTTGTTTATTTTACTAGTGAATACTAAAGTTGGGAATAGTCATGCCTACAAGGAATAGTTATGGCACCATACATTTTGTTCCTGTCACTTTGAGGCCTGGCTGCTGCAACTAAGATTCCTAGTTTCCAAGGAGTTACCAAGATGATATTACATCATCTATTCTGAAGGGATTCAATTTTCCCCATTATCTGTCAACCCTGCACCAGAATTCTCTTTGGTAGTTACCATTCTCATTTTGCTGTGGTCCCTCCTGGGGGTTGGTTTTCATTAGTATGGCTAAGAATTTAAGCAAGGAAACTGATAATATTTTTAAAATTGTAGTTTTAGACAAATACCAGTTATTACTATTAATGATATTATTTTAAAACTGTCTTGTAGGAGTAAGTCTTGACTGGAGTGAAACGAGACCAGAATTTGTTCGTGGCTATAACCATCCCTGTGGCTGGTTTTGTGTTCCACTTAAAGACAATCCAAGCCAGAGTCTCTTAACAGGCTACATTCAGACAGATCTGCGTGGCATGATCCCTCAGTCTGCAGTAGATACAGCAATGGCAAGCACTTTAACCAACTTCTATGGTGATTTGCGAAAAGCCTTACGAAAGGCTTAATGTGTTCAGCTCCTAGTGCTGAGGTTTGCTGAGCCTCTTCTTGCCCTCAGCTGCATGACCTGCAAGCGTCAGCAGCCCCGTCTGCTGCACAGCCTGGAGAAACGCTGGAGGTGTTTTGGGTTCCATAGTACAATCTCATTTTATATTAAAAGTAAGTAGCTGTGTAAATAGGGCATTTAAATTTTCCTAAGCTTTTGTTTGCACCCTGTTTTGTTGTGGAATTGTGTCTAGGAATGGGGAGGGTGAAACTCCAAGATTGAGACTCGGACCCTTTAGTGTGGTCTATTCACAAAGTGAAGTAGCAGCTTGGGAGGAAGTCTTTGACTGCTTGGAAATTACAAGGTGTGTAAGCACAATACTACTCACATTATTTTGGAGCTTTTTGAACATTTTGTAAAAATTTTATGGTTCTTAATGTAAATGTTGTGCTTTATTCTTGTTATGTTATGTGAGTTTGCCAATAGCTTGAACAAAAGGAAAAATTCCTCCATAGTCTGTAAAGATCAAGTCCATTGTTTGTTGACTTGTACTATTTTATGTATTAGAAAGACCACAAGCAACAAGAGAGTAGTCATTCTTGTAACCATAGGCACAGTTCAATACAGTTTAAATTGGTATCTAGGTAATGTTCTACAAAGCCTATAAAAACATACCTGTGTCTTTATGCGCCATTTATTCTGGGAGTGACTAAAAACAGCCAGATATACATTGATGACATCACACTGAGCAGTAGCTGGCATAGGAAACAGCTGATGGTACCCCATCACCATCAGAAGGTCATTGCTAAAAAGTAAAGTTCATTGACTGCTCTACACATACTCCATTTAAAAAAAAATCACTGAACTTGCAACATTGGTCTGGAGCTATAACAAATGAGTCCTTAGATTCAGTGGGATTTTTGGATGTCCTGGTATGACTAGAATGAACTATTCATGGGGCTGTCTTAAGGGAACATTCCTTTATGACTGTGACTTTCCAGATCATTCTTTGACTTTTGAACATCTACCTGGTTTACTTCTAGAGTAGAAATCTGTGGTGATTTCATTTCCACACGTAGCTTTGTATCTGTGTTTCTGTGAGCCGTCTCGTTGTTTAGTGTCCGTTCCTTCTGTGTTGCTATTTCTACTCCTCTGCTGGGCATGTGTTTCGCTTCCCTTTTCCTGGTTGGTTGTTTTGTTGTTTGGTTGATGGGTTTGCTTTTTCCTTTTGACTAATATGGAGTAAAGTGAACTCTGGAAAAAAATCTCAGGCAGGCAAGTCGCAAAAAGGCCCACCAAAGTGTATGATGGCTCAGGTGCATGGGGAACGGCTCAGGTGCATGGGGAACGGCTCAGGTGCATGGGGAACGGCTCAGGTGCATGGTTTGGGTCTGTTTTGCAGTAGTTTGTTTCTCTAAGTGTAAATTCAAGTCTTCTCATTCTTTTTGACAGTCAGAAGTGAAGTTGGTTTTACTCTTTTTAAAAAATTTTTCTTGCCGGGTGTTGGTGGCACACGCCTTCAATCCTAGCACTGGGGAGGCAAAGGCAGGTGGATCTCTGAGTTCGAGGCCAGTCTGGTCTACAGAGGGAGTTCCAGGACAGCCTCCATAACAATACAGAGAAACCCTGTCTCGAAAACCAAAAAAAAAAATCTTTCTTGTATCTGATGGTGAAAATATTTATGGAGCAAAAGGTGGCAGCATCAGCGTTCTGGGTTTTTGATTGAAGTAATGCTTTCAAGACCAACCAGAAGCAGTTCCCCCAGAGGCCTGTCTGTGTTCTAAGTTCATCACCTCTAAGATCCTTGTCTGAACTGATTGTAACTTTTCAACTGTTGGATTTCTTTGCAACTTTTCTCTTCTGCAATAGGGAAAGAAAAGGCAGTTGATAATGTCCAGGGAAAGCTGTTAATTGTTAGTTGCTAACTCTGTCTCCTGTAACTTCATCTGTTTTACTGGTGTAGAGTAGGAGGTCGCATATACCCATCTCTCATACATATATCATCTCTCACATGTCATCTCTCTCTCACATGTCATCTCTCACATGTCATCTCTCATATATCCCATCAGCACAGTCCAGTTTTGGAGCATTTCTGCCACCACAAGATTCCTTTTTGTCTGTGTCTGCTGTGTATACTCATTTAACCAGAGTATCCCAGTTGCCAGTACAGGAAGGGGATGAGAAAGGTGACATTAGAACTTGTTTGGTTTTGTTTTTAAGAGTAGAGAGGGGTGTGTGTGTGTGTGTGTGAATTTAAACTCAGGAACATTTATATGTTTAATGTGTTTATCTCAAGTATTGTAATATAAAAATGCTGTAAAAGGAAGATGACACTAGCATATAGTTAGGTCTGCTTCTGTAGCTGTGCTATCACAGAAAAATAATGCAAGCCATATATGTAACTTAAAATATCCTAGCAGAGGCTGGAGAGGTGTCAGTAGTTAAAGAGTACCCGCTGCTCTTGCAGAAGACCTGATTCGGTTTCCAGCACCCACATGGAGGCTCACAACTGTCCAAACTCCAGTTCTGGGGGATCTGGTGCCATCCGGCCTCTGCAGGCACGAGGCATGCACACAGTGCATAAACATACATGCAGAGAAGACACTCATATGCAGAAAAAATTCACAGCTGAAATTAATTTTAGCAGTGTTTTCTAAGTCACTGTGTCTAATATATTTCAATATGTAACTGATGTTAAAAATAAGCTGTTGAGATACCTTATGGGTTCTGTTAATTCTTTGAAGTAGTATGTTTATTTACTGCTGTAGACTAGCCATACTTGAAGCATTCATTAGTCACATGAGGCCTGTAGCTATTGTAATGAACAATTCTACAGTATGTGTATCATTTGTCTTGGCATAAGATGAAGTGGGCAATTCATGAATTGCTTTCTTAAACAGAAGTATTCATAGCCTAGTACTTCCAGGGCTTCCTGAATAAGACATAAGTAGTTTAGAAATATAAATAAATTATTTATTCCCAGTAAATTAAAAATTATTGCCTCAAAATTATTTTTGTTAAAAGTAACTTTTGATAAGATATTGAAGGACATGAAAAAGTATCACCTACCACATTACTGTAGTTGTTTCCTGTAGCTTATAGCTTGTTAAGGAAATGTGTGTGTTGGAAATTCTTGCCATAATATTACCTTCATGTAAGTGAAATTTTGGTAGAAAATACCAATATTTGTTGAAAATTCTTCATTATTCTTCAATGATTAAAGCAATACTCAACAAAAGATAATGGATTGCAGTGTTCTCAGTTCTTCCCATAAACCACTGGAGTATTACATGTAAACGTTGGGGTCTCTTTCCTGGTCCGTGCTCACAGTGGGCGTGCTTGAAGTTGGGGGTTCCCAGGTGTAAAACTGTTCCCCTTAGCAGATTGTTTTCCCCTTCATCTTCCTTTCTTTTCTACGTGAAGATCGCTTGACTAATACTGGATTAAATGAACAACCTGTGGTAGAAAATGCACCCAAGGTTCTGGAGAAGAGGAGAAAACACTGTATGCAGTCTCTGCCCCTCGTTGTCTCTGGAACCGTTAGGTCTAAGAGTTCCCTTTGGTGTCGATCACAGCTTTCTTACGTTTACAAGAGCAAAGTAGCGTCTTCAGGATCAGATGCTAATTTTTTTAATTAAATGGATGTTGTGACTTTCTGAACCCAACAGAGAAGGTAACAGAACCAGGGAAGCTAATGGAGATCTGGATTTAATGAAGACTTCTTTAAAACATCCATGGTCACTTTTCCAGCCTCTTTCGCCTTCCTCTGTTTCTTTTATTGTGAAACCGGGGACTAAACTACGCTTCAGCTCCTGCGTGCTCTCACTGGGCTTCTGGAAGTATGGGTGGTGAGGTCTGAGCCTAGAAGAACATGAGCTTCACTCTAAAGCACTGGACTGGACTTACATTCCCCATCCTTGTGTTCCCAGAGGTTTTAGACATACTGCAATGTATTAAAACTCATCTTTTAACAGTCCAACAAATGATGCATTATTTTCCGACCATTTTTAGGAAGTTTATCATCTTGTGAATCTGTGTGTGCATGTGTGTTTGTGTGTGTGTGTGTGTGATTAGAATAAAGAACTATGATATAAAGTGTATATTTTTAAATTACAGTGGAGTATATCTCAATAAAGATTTCTTGACTCTTGTTACTGGCCACTGATCTTGTTTGTGTAACTTACTTTAACCTCAAGTACTGACCAAACGCTTATGTATCTGAATTTAAAGAATGTTATTTAACTATTTGGACTGTTCAAAAACAAAAATGTAAACCTGGAAAGTAAAATTAACACACACTAGTCTGCCAATGTTTCATAATATTCGCGAGAATACTGCTAAATATTTATCTGAAATCTCCACCCTTATATTGCTATAATAACAAACCCGAGGAAATTGCTGATTAAAGAGAAGAGGTTTATTTTGGCAAACAGGTCTGAAAGTTCTAGTCTAGCATCCAGTAGTCTAGCCTTGGGCCTCTGGTAATGGCAGCATACTAGAGGGGTAGCATGTGATGGAAAAAAACAAAACCAAGACCCTGCTTACCTCCTGATCCAAAAAATAGAGAGAGGGAAAAGACCAGAGAGTCCCATGTTCCCCAGTGACCTGTGTGCCTCCCATTAGATAGCACCCCAGGACCAGTTTTAAGTGCAAGGGCCTTTGTGGAAGCATGCGGCATCTAAATGGTTGCAGCTCTTATGTGGCTTGTACAAATGGGTACCTGCCTTTATTACAGTAACAAGGCCAGATGGGCACATTCAAATAATTGTTCCACGTTGGCTAAGTGGAGTGGACACTTGAATTTTGCAGCTGGAAGTAGTTACTAGGATATCTATAATCTAGGTTATATGAAAAGCCCCTAAGGGTGGCGTAGTATGTAATAGAAAAGGGAGGGTTTCACATACAGGGACTTTCTCCACCCAAATATCTGGTTTATGTTACCTATTCCAACTAACGACCTTAGCAGGTCATTCGTGGTTTATCTAATGTGTCCTGTCATGTATGGGCAGTAAGAAGGCAGCCTAGACCAGATGTCAAACCTCCAGGCACTTTTGTTATTGGACTGGCCATTTCCTCCAGAAATGCTTGAAAAACGTTTTTTTCATGATCCACCCAGTTTATGATATGTTGTTATTGCAGTTGGAATGGATCTAGACATCTGGATATAAGTAATCATATTTTCAGCTGAAGAATTGAAGAACAATGTTTTTGCTGTTGTCTTGATCTTCCTTTTAAGAAATAACAGACTATTCCTAGGAATTGATTACAGATGCATTCAGGTTGGGAAGGCAAAGCCCATGGCGCTGTCTGTCTGTCTTCCCCATCCCCCAGTGAAAGCTGCAAAGTGCCTGGGAGCAAGAGTAAGGATATCCAACCTCTTGGAGAGTGTGCCTGTGGTGACTTTAGATAACCAGCCACAGGTTGAGCTTTGCAAGGTATATGTGAGGTTTCTCTGGATGCCCCAGAGGTAAAGGATGGCCCCCTAACACAGTAATGAAAACATTCTCTTGCTGGGCTAAAACATTTTGGAGCCCCTTCTAATGACAGAGGCTCGATGGCTATCATTTCCGTAGGTCGAGAGGTGAGGGAACTTTCCCTCAGGTTAGTTAGCGGCTGATATTACATGGCATCTGCCAGTACTATTCTATTTGCATTATTGTCTTGCTGTTGCTCTGAGCAAAAATGTCCACATTTATACATGGGCTTTTATCACCAAGAGATGACACAGAACTATTAAAAAGAATGCACTACAAATGTATCCCAGGAGAGCATGGATCTATGCTCATGTGTTACCAGCTGTGTGGATGTGTGAACTCTTGAGATCTAAATTAATATCGAGGAAGCAGGTGTACCAAAATGTTTTTTCATTAATATTTTCTCCTAGAGCATTATAATCCTATTTATGTTTTGCTTTGGTGAAATCTCTTAAGTATAGGGCAACAGACTTTATTAAAGGAAATCTAGAGGTTGCAAAACCACAGTGAAGTATAAAAATAATGTATGAATATCAAGTCGTCTTGTAACACATTGGTTTACTGAGGGAGTTCTTGTTTTACTCTAGTATTTCCCTACATTCCCTCAACTGAGAAGTCTTTGTTTAGGATGTTGGAGGAATCTTGGATGGAATTGTGGTGAACATAAAAAAACATGCATAATGATTGATACAGCAAGTTCTGAAAATTTGTAAGTAAAAATCAACACTAGAGAAAAAGACAATGGCTTTTGGAAAGTGTTATAGTAATTTTCTGCCTTTCTGTATTTTCATATCTTTATAAGGAAAAGTCAGTTTTAATATGTGTTGATGCAGTAATGTCCAGAAGATATTTTAGTGGTGAGAATTGGGCTGAACAGTGGCAGCAGCAATGCTGTCCCCTTCTTGGTCACTGTGAACTTCTCAGGTAGTTAACTTCCAAGGTGTGTTAACTCGCTTTAAGTAAAATGGACTTACTGGATGAAGTAATTACTAATGTGCCTTTCTAGCCTTATGAATTTCACAGTCTTAACTCTTTAGACAGTGAATATCCCAGTATGCAAGTATTAAAAGTACTATATAAGCAAAGTACAATTTTACCCAAAAGAATGGTGATTCGGCTGTGCATTTCAGTCCTAAGGAAAATGAATGTCCCTGGTATGCCTTGATTGGTGGTAGCTGTTCAAATCACAGAATGCAAAGTTTGGGTGGGCTCTTAGATGATTTATTATCACATTGCACATGCAGATTCCTTTACAGATTGGCCAGCTGCAGGGCACCGGCTAGCTTCTTTTGGCATGCTCTGACAATCTGGGTGAACTTAGAGTTACATCGGTCCTCACTAAAGTCAGGCTCTACAGTTAGCCTAGCAGCATTGACTTTGCTCATGTCGCATAGTCTTTCTTCAAGTTCTTGGCCAACACCCCTACTGTCACCAAATGGACATATTTAATCATTGACTTGGGTTGTCCAACCTGCATCCAAGAAAAATCCAGTGAGCCATCAAATATCTTAGACTTTTGGCAGTTGAGAGAGAGCCAATGGCTGTCCTGGTCTCCTCATAGGAAGTGTGAACTCTGGTCAGTCACGCACATTGAAGAATACAGTACCTCAACCATTAGCAAATGGACATGGTTTTGTTGATTGCAAGCATTTTATGTATTTACATTTGTAGCCAAACCAGGCTTAACATGCTTACCTAAAAATATTATAATCGTGTCTTTGTATTAAGGAATCAATAGCACCATTTTGACACATTAATGTTCACAGCTTCTTTTAGTACTTTTTATTAGAAAGTGTAAAAGCCAACCATAATCTTAGCTGTGTAAATTAACGTATTTATACTTTCTTCTCCATTTCATCATACACACTCACATTTTGGGTTAATGACTTGTGATCTAGACTACAGGAAACCTGTTTTATTGCATATGATGCTATTCTGTACTCATCCATGCTGCCATTGAGGTTGCTTATGTACCTTTAGTCCAAAAAACTCTCAACAACCCAGCAATGCAAATTTCACATCTGAGAAGTCTCAAAAAGACATCCCAGATGATGCCGTCTACGCCTGGAAACCCCTCACGGCAAGTCTCCCTTTCTCAGTGTCCACTAACATGTTTTCTCTGTCCTAATAGTATCTTTACTTCTTAGCACCTGGATGATAGTCTTTGTCTCCGTCTCTCATCCTGGAGTAATGCAGCCATCCACTATCCACAGACATTACCAGAAATAGACAAAGATACTCAAGTCAGAGAAGTCACACTGTAATTCTAATTAGTAATCCATATTTTAAAAATCCAAATGTCTTAAAGATGAATGGAAAGTAGTGCCTCCGAGATATAGTAGATTCTTTAGATTTTTTATATTGTATAATTATAACCTTACATACACTGAACAAAAGAGAGTGAGGAATGTAAGAACCTGGCAGGACCAGCTTGAGGTTTGAAGATTAGCTGTGTGCATCCAAACACATGTGTTCACAATGCTGGGTGACTTCATGCTGCTTAGGTGTGTACTAGGAGACTAGCCAGGTAGCAGGGGCAGGAGAAGAGCTTCCCCTTCAGCTGTCCAGAGCAGAGAGCAGCAAGGAGCTTGGTTTAGATATAAGACTACTGCCCGCTCCACGATACCATGTGTATCTCAGCCTTGTGTTTCTCTACCCCGGCGCTGCCGCTCCTTGATCAGGCAAGTCCCCTTCCTCCCTAATTGCAGATTGTCTAACCGTTCAAGATCCGCATTGCACATTCTTGGCACAAGAGACCATTTTCCTCTCTCCCACCGTGAAGTGCTTACTGTCTGCATGTATTCAGTACAGGCTGTATGTGTGATTACTTGTCTTTTCTCTCCAAAAGAGACATCTTAGCTACCCAAAGAGTATCACTGGGCTAAATTCATTTTCCATTCATATTTTGCAAGCAATGGCTTGTCAGAAAAGATTTACTGTGGGAAAAGGGTTCCTGGAACGGGCTGTTTCTTGGAAGCTTTTGCTACTAGTGAATCATGTCCTTCAAGTTTGCTTTCCACGAAGGCCAAATATCCTCTAAGCCATGCTGTTTAATTTCTAGAAAGAAAAGTAGCTATTGTAAGGTTTTAAGTCTATTCAAACTTGGAGCCATCTGGAAGACAGGCAGATAAGAATGTTCAATCCGAATGTGTGTCACCTTCTCCCTCTCATTCCAGCAATTTGTCTCCAGCCCATGCTAAGCACCAGGGCTCAGAGGGTGACTCATGTCTTTTGTTCCCACATTCTGTAATGTCCCAGTGGCTGTATCTTCTTACTGATGGCTCCATCAGTTTAAAGAGACTCTTCCATCCCATCATACAGAAACTGCAGATCTTCCTAATGACAGGCTGATAATTGCTTCCTCCTTACAGTCTCATCTGTGACCTTTGCAGTTACAAATGTTGAAAGTCAGGCTGAAACAAGCCACAAATGCTTAGATTCCCCTGAATAACTGAGTTACTTGGTTCCCTTAAGGCAGATGCTTTGGGATGGGTAATTTTTCTGGGTAGAAATGGACTAGAGGGCTCTTCTTGGTCTCCTAGATTTGCTAGGAAAGTAAAGTATGAACTAGAGGTGCTTTTCACATGGAACCCACCACACTCAGAGAAGCATGGACATAGGAAAGTCGTTTTTAAAAGTGAAGTTGCCCGTGTAAGTGTTCGCCCAAACTGTTGATGAGCAAGTGATTGTCATAGAATAATACACTATCTCCTAAATGTTAATGAAAATCCAATAGAAACTACTTCATCGTATCATGAGAAATTCAAAACCTGAGGGTGCACATTCTGTAGCTTGCTAAGCAACAGGGCTCCAGTTTGACTTAAATATGAGTGAACATTATTTGGTTTTTTTGTTAGTTTGTTTAATTCACATGTGTTTTTTTTAAGTTTCTAAAATATGTCCAAACAACTGGAAATCTTAACTTCTACTTTTAACTCATCACACTAATTTTCTTTTTCGGGAAATGGTATAATTTTTCATTTTTTGTTCACATGGAAATTTTAATTTTACCTCTTGCACAACTGTTGTGAGACCATTTGCAATATGAAACAAAGCTCACCTAACCTCTAAATAGCAAATAAGAGAAATAGCCCTAACTAAGGCAAAAATCCTACAGCTTTGGAACATGGATCCCTAAAGGTCATCACAAAGTGTGAGGGGCAATGAAAATGAGCATTTTTTTTCTTATAAAGGACCATATAGACATTTTAGGTGATGTAAATTGTATGGTCTCTATTGAAAATATCCAGTGCAGCTCCAGTAGCCTGCAAAGAGATAAAAAACAAACAACCCCATGAATGAATCTGACCATCACAATGTCGGTTTGAGTTGTGTCTAAATTAAGATTTGCTTTCTAATCTGTAGTTTGCCTGAGTCCTGAAATATTTTCCTTGGAGGTTTAAATTTGGTTCCCTGAAGAGCCGTGTGGAAGTAGTTTAGCTTTACATGCTTTAGTTAGCTCCAGGCATCAAGCTGACACATCCCGAGTAATACGAAGGGGTCTCAATTAGAGATGGCCTTGATCAGACGGACCTTTGGGCATTTCCTCGGTTACTATGGGAGGGCCCCGCTCACCATGGACAGCACTGTCTGTAGGTCGGGGTGGCCGGCTGTCTAACAGCTGAGCAGATGGGCGCAGCAAGCCGGTGAAGTGTCCTCCATGCTCTCTGCTCCACATTCTGCCCCCAGGTTCCTACCATGGCTTTCCTCGATGACGGACTGTAACCTCCCAGATGAAATAAACTCATCGTGCTGCTTTTGATCATCTCATAGTTGGTGTTTATCACGTTAAATAGACTATAGGTATACATGTGTATGTGTTGTGTATTGAAATGCATACATGTATCTCGCATGACCAGAGATAAAAATGACTGGAGTCCAAACTGGTAAGAATATTAACTTAGAACATCAGCCCGATAGCCCATTTTGTTTGTAACTTGCATTCACTGGATTTGTCTGTGTTCAAGTCACCGTTCCCACTCACCAAACTCATGAGATACTTAAAAATTTTAAGGGGAACAGCAGTATCTGTTGGACATAGAATGACAGATGACTTTCGTGTCATTTCGACCAAAGAATTTAAAATTTAGGAGGCATTAGAACACCCTCTTGGTTTATAGATGATCATAAAAATATTACTAAAGCTAAGAATGTAATGACCAGAAAAGTAATCAGTCATGAATATGATATTTAGTAACCTATACAAATTATATATTAGTTACACTGATAAACATTTAGTTGCACATGCATACAAAACAGGTCAAGTTAAAAGGAGGCACCTATGAGATAATTTTCAAATTAGGGTCATACTTGTGTCCCTTACAAAATATATTATTATTCATGTTTCAAAGATATGATGAAGAAACACATCGAGAAGGTTTTTTTTTTATCATCCATAACCATCAGAATTTGGAAACAGCTTCAGGAAATTGTTTTCAAAAAAGAGAAGCCTAATGTATTTGAGTATCTTGAAATAATATTTTAGATGGAAAATAAAGATTATTCAGTCTAACTGAAGATTAAATATTTTCATTTTCAACAGTGACTCAAAGCAAAGATCAGATTGGCTATAAATATTCTGTATCTGTAGGCCAGTCTTCAGACTATACTGAAAACAATTATGGACAATGTGATTTTGTATTAGAATTGCTCATTAGTACTTTAAACTATGGAGCAACGAAAGCCTGTTTCTCTAGGTCACCTGGAATGTTCCTGCCAGAACTTTAGAGAACCTCCCATTTCCAATGTGAAGCTGAGAGAACCTCCCATTTCCAATGTGAAGCTGAGAGAACCTCCCATTTCCAATGTGAAGCTGAGAGAACCTCCCATTTCCAATGTGAAGCTGAGAGAACCTCCCATTTCCAATGTGAAGCTGAGAGAGCCTCCCATTTCCAATGTGAAGCTGAGAGAACCTCCCATTTCCAATGTGAAGCTGAGAGAGCCTCCCATTTCCAATGTGAAGCTGATGTCAGGACAGATACAACAAGACAGGCCTTCTGACAAGTGGGGGTGATAAGGCAATGCAAAGACATATGATTGACAGGACCCCATCTTCCTATCACTGGTCAAGAGCAGTACCGTATTAAAGAGACCGCTCTCAGTCCTTCGGTGGGTGGGGGACTTTCTGAGTCTAACTGGGTCGGATGCTGGGCATCTTCTTTGAAGCTGATTCCTGCAAAAGTGAGGCTGCTTTCATGGCAAGGTTTTGACCTCGCCCTAAGTGGAATCCTAGGCCAGGTGCTCGGGAACAGATGGAGTCAAGCCTTTCCGAATGCATCCACCATCCATCCATGAAAACTCACAGCCGACCGTAACTTGCTTGTTACTCCTTTCCAAGGTAAGTGTAACATGATTGGACTGGGTCTGCACTGACCTCAGGTGATAGTCACAGAGTAATAATGACAGAAGTGAGTCCTCACGCAGAAAGATTGACCCTGCTTGTCATTGCAGTGCTGGGTGTCCGTGTTCCCACCCCACTTCCTCTCCCCCCCACCCTCCTCCCTCTGCCCTCTGTCCCTCCTCTATCTCACCTTCACTGTGAAGGAACAGTTTTATAAGAAAGTAAAGTGACAACATTTTTAAGTAGAAAATTTTGTACATTTCCATCATGAGGCTATGAACACCAAAGTGTAAAAAAAAAATTATACTTTCATGTTAAAAGCAAACAAACCAGTGCAGACACAATCTAATCTTTGGCAGGGTTCAACCAGTAAGTGCCGAAATGTCAGCAGTGACCCTGATCAGTCACGGATCAGTGATAAACATTAAGGAAGTTGGAATATGACCTAATGGACAGTGATTACGAAGATATCACAGATCTCATTACATAAATACATGTCTGGAAACTCTGTGCTGTCTCAAAGCTAGACAACCAGACTGGGCACTCTGCAATGATAAGTAGATTACAGGATGGCATTATAATTATGCAGTTGGCGATGCTGTGTATGAGCCGAGTGCTAATTCACTTTAATGACCTCTTTTAAAATTATTTTATTTGGCTTTCTACGAACAATCCTTTTCTGGAATTTCTTTTCTTTATCCAATCTGAAATGCACCCAACTACTCCTGTACAGTAGACGCTGAATCATGAAACAAAATGGTTCTCGGAGATTTAACCTTGAGGGAGCCCAGGGTAAGCAACCTTGCATATGATACTGGAAATAGCCAAGAGAAAAATGCTGAAATTCTACACTACAAAACGTCAAAACCATATGCAATTGAGGTCCTCTTAAAAGAGGAGCCGCTTCTTTCTTTGTAAATCTGCCACTAAAAATGACTATAGGATATTGATAAGTATTCTAAAATCAGTATGTAAAAAATCCCAAAAGTTTTTAAAAAGTCTGTGTAGTGGCAGCGTTAATCGGGCCCTTCTACAAAAACCCCACAAGTATCAGATGTGATCATATTCCCATTTTATGGGTATCTGTCATGTCACCACCACCAAAACATGCCCACCATGACAGTGTATTTTCAGGAGGCTTCTATAAAGATTGTTTCTAACATGAGAAGGAGTCTAACTTAGCCCAATGTGTAGAGACTGGATTCTGTGAACAGTCAGCTCAGTGGGGACTCATGGCCTGTAGTAGTTTTTGCTAAGTGAGAGTACTGTTGGCTCTATGGCAGTACTCAGGAAAGTCTAGGATGAAGTCAGGTTTCCAGAGTCAAGTGGGGTTAAGATAGACTCCGGTAAGGACACACACACGCACGCACGCACACACGCACGCACGCACACACACACGCGCACACACACACACGCACACGCACACACGCACACACACACGCACACACACACGCACACGCACACACACACGCACGCACACACACGCACGCACACACACGCACACGCACACACACACACGCACACACACGCACGCACGCACGCACACACACACACGCACACGCACACACACACACAAATTGGCGATGCCTAAGGAAGTGTTGCTTTGATGGAATGTTGCAGAACTTTTCCAAGCATGTTCAGGAGTAGCCAGTACGTATATATCTGCATCTGTAACACTGGCATCTTAGCTGCTTACCAGCATATCAATGTGGAAAATTCAAGTCTCACTCTGCTATAAAGAAAAGTGTTCTAGGCCAGACCAGCTGCCCTACCATAGGAGCCCCTGGCTACAGTGCAGCCCCTGACCACCTGATGTAAACATGCTTAGACTGCTAATTGGAGAAACCGTATAAAAGTGACTCAAACTATCACACGAATTTAAATTTTGATGTAATAACTTGTGTAGACAGGACCAAAATGTACTGTCATAATTTTATAGTTTCCTTTTTTAGAATTTAGCTGGTGGAAAATGTAAAGTTGCGTGTAGGGCTGTGGGCGTGGCAGCACGTGCTATAACCCCAGATCTTGGGACACTGAGTCAGGAGAACCAGTGTGAGTTTGAAGTCAGTCTGGGTTACACAGTGAGTTCAAGGCTAGCCTGGGATACATAATAATACCTTGCCTCATAATTTTTATATGTGTATCTTATATTTATATTAAACTTATTAATATGAACAGATAATAATTTTACAATTACTCTGTTCTAATCTCTTATAAGCTGGTGTGGCAAAAGAGCTTGAGAAACCCATTGAAATCATAACTGGACTTTCTGATTTGAGGGAAATAACTGGAGACTGATCTCTGTGGTAAAAGCTAATTTTGCTATATGACTAAATTCTTGAAGTAAAAACCAGTAATGAATGTAGCTGTCCTCTCTCTCTCTCTGTCTCTGTGTGTGTGTGTGTGTGTGTGTCTGTCTGTCTCTCTGTCTCTCTCTCTGTCTCTCTGTCTCTCTCTCTCTGTGTGTCTGTCTCTCTGTCTCTCTCTCTGTCTCTCTGTCTCTCTGTGTGTGTGTGTGTGTCTGTCTCTCTGTCTCTGTCTCTCTCTCTGTCTCTGTGTGTGTGTGTGTCTGTCTCTCTCTCTCTCTGTCTCTCTCTCTGTCTGTCTCTCTGTCTCTCTCTGTCTCTCTCTCTGTCTGTCTCTCTGTCTCTCTCTCGCTCTCTCTGTCTGTCTCTCTGTCTCTCTCTCTCGCTCTCTCGCTCTCTCTCTCTGTCTCTCTGTCTCTGTCTCTGTCTCTGTCTCTGTCTCTCTCTCTCTCTCTCTCTCTGTGTGTGTGTGTGTGTGTGTGTGTGTGTGTGTGTGTGTGTGTCTTTTTGAGACGGTTTCTCTGTGTTGCAGCCCTGGCTATCCTGGAACTCACTGGGTAGACCAGGCTGACTCAGACTCAGATTTCCATGGGCCTCTGCCTCCCAAGCGCTGGGATTAAAGGTGTGCACCACCACCTCCCACCTTGTAACTGTCATCTTCTAGATGTGAGTTTTAATTATTATTCTTTCTTTGCTGGAATTTTAAAAACTGTTTTGCTTTGTGACATTATCAATTAAGAGTAATATTAGAAAGTGTTCTTTCAAATTAAGACTGTATTCCTTTAGTTTAAATAATCTTCAAGATGTTTAATTTTAACAACCAATGGGAGTGTTGACTGTTCTTTAAAAATGGTAAAATAAGTATTCTTTTAGATGGTATTTTTGTTAAATCTTTGAATAATTTGTCCGAAATATTTGACTTATTTCCCAGTGAATGGACTTAAGTTTTTGTAAGCATTAGGATAATCTTTATCATACAAGTTACAACTGAAAACTGCCAATGATATTTAGCTAATGAAGTATATAGGTTGTAAAAGAGAGGGAATTATCCTAATACTCTTGAGTATCACCAAGAAGTGCTAAGGTAAAATAATTTAAATGACTGAACTCTAAAATACACGAGGGCTTGGCATTTATAATGCTCTTCCTAAAGGTCACAGGGTCATCCAAGGCATGTGGCTCACGTTGGAATGAAATAAGTCCTGGGCTGGAGTTGATTGATATACTATGTTGATATTCTAATTGCACCTTCCACCAAGACCCTTAGTCTATCTTTGCTCTTTCCATATATGGGACACTTACCATACATGCTAAATTTGACAAGGAAGATTACACCAGGGAATTGCTCTTCTTAAATGGAAATATTGAAAGCATTCTTTAAAGTTAAAAACAGCCCCTTTATAACACTCAAAATGAGAGTTCTGAGGGGGAGTGACTGAAGAGGAGGGAAGTCAAGTAAGAGGATAAATACTCAACTAAAGTCAACTGGGAAGAACCTCCCGAGCCTAGGTGATGCCCCCCAGGTTGACTACCTGTCAAGGACCCAAATCGCAGACTACAGGAAGCACCACCTTTCTCCTTCCCTGAGGCTGTTGGAGGTTTGTGCTTGATGTACTGAAATGGTGATACCCCTGACAGCCTGGAGAAACCCCAGATCTAATTTAATTTCTCACTGGAACTGTTTGTATATTAAGTTGTTCTTGTTCTACGAAAAAAATCTGTGCTTTTCATTTTTATTGACCTTATTTTGGATTTTGAAAGTAATAGTTTTTATAAATTAAGAAAATCCACCCAAAGTGTGAAACGGTTGTTTTAATAAGTGTTAATTTTTTCACTCAAGAAATCTGATATGGGATTTAGTGTAATTTCTATGAACCAAAGAAAACGTTTTTATTCTGAGGGGAAAAAACATGCTAATTAAGGTCTAATGCTTAACCCTCCCTGAAGTCTGGTTTAAGATGTGTTTTCACTTTTTTGGTTTTGTTTTTGCTTATTTTTAAGACAAATAAAAGCTGACACTGTGCTAAATTCCTTGATATGGAAAGTTTCATCACCATAAAATATGCATCTTCCATTCTAAGTGTGAGGAAAAGACACTAGTTTTCACAATGAATTTTAAACTTATGAACAATATGTCTACATAATTGGAGAGGAGAATGCTTCTGCAAACATTTTCTTACTCTAGTAACATCAATAGTAAATTATCTAACAATGGAATGTATTGTTCTTTCTACATTCAGACATTTTGGCACCAATTTGCACAACTGACTTTTCCAGAACGTGAAACTTGTAATTTCCACTGAAAAAAACATCCTTAAATGCAAAATATTATATGAGCTTACAAAAGCAAATCTATGTGAGAAATAAAAAGGAATTAATCTTGGTATGTCCAAGTCCCAATTAGGTATCATTTTACTTAAATTTCTTATTCTTACCTAGGTTGCATACATCTGATGGGGCCTTTTAATGAAGAAGCAAGTGAGGGAAAGAAACGGCACAGTTTAATCAATAATTTCCTAAAAACTGTAAACTGGCAGAATTTTATGATGACTATTTTGAGTAATCTCATATAGCATATGTACAAATAAAAAGGAGACATTCTCTACACACACTTAAGGGGGCTGTGTACTCATGGCCTAAGAATGCTTCAACGTCTCGACACTGCAGGAGATTTTGGACACTCTCCAGGTATCTTTTGTAACCATCCCATCTACCAGCTGAACCCACTGAAAGGGCTTGGAGCATCATGGGAATGTGTCTTGGTTTGAGGTGAGTTCAAAGGAATGAGCATCTCTGAAGACTTCTAAGCATTCCAAGAAAAATGTTTTTCATTTCACTCTAAGCATGTGCCACCAAAGGCTGAGAGGGTTTGTTTTCAAGTGTCGTGTTGTTGGCTGGGAATTTCAAATTGAATTCATCGGTATCAGGGATCCACTGCATGCTGTAGAAACACCATTATTTCGTAAAGCAGACACATGCACTGAGATTAGGATTACCAACTGGTATATATGGGTTTTTTTTTTGCACCTCCACACAGAATCACTATAGTGCATACCATGCTCCCCGACCAGCTGATCTATGAACCTAAGGAGAGCCAACTCAGTACTCTGGCAAAATGGCATCCTGCTTTGGAACCCCAAGTCCCACCTCAGGGGCTCCTTCCTCTGCTTTGGGGTCCATTTCTTCCTCCATAGACTTCAGCTTCTCCCCTGAGCTCCTCGTCATGGCCAGGTCATCTGTCTTCAAGCCATCCTCCAGGGCCTGAGGCACCGTCCCGGGGGCCTCCTCTTCGACACCTGCACCTCCCTCCCTCTCCTTGGACTGCAGCTTCCTCGTCTCGGCGGCCGTGTCCTCCGCTGCGGCTTGATCCTCTTGCATGGTCTCTCCCAGAAGAGCTGTGTTGTCCTTGACATCTTGGGTTGGAGATGGGTCTGGACTGGCCTTGTGACTCTCCTGGAGGCTGCTATGGCTGCTGCTGGCACTCCCCAGCCGAGAAGAGGCCACCACAGCCTTTACTGCTGCCTGATTAGAGACAGAAAATATACAATAGTGCTCCTGTGGGAAAGGCCAAATTATAGTGTAATCCCTGCTTTGTTTTACAGGTTGGTGTTCAGTCTTTCAAAGTGAAGTAAATTATTTCAAGATTGGTTGTCGGCTAAAAGGGTATCTGGAGAAAGAACAGTAAAGCCTTTATACAAATGAGAATTATTGGGTCATCTGGAGAATTGAAAAGATGAGTGAGGTATGCCTGTGACTGACTTGCAGTTTTATATTCTCCAAAGGATGCTTCATGGAATACTAGGGCCGTGATTCTGGCTGGTATCATGGAAAAAAGAGTGCAGTGCTCAAACCAGCTTCAGAAATAGTGAAGCCAGAGCTACTTAATAAATGTCATTTCAAAATGAGACCATGGAGCTCCTCCTATTGGTCTATGAAAGATGACACAATGGGATGCTAATTTTGGCCTCTAGAGAGTCTCTGAGATCTGATATATGTATATATATATATACATATATATGTGTGTGTGTGTGTGTGTGTGTGTGTGTGTGTGTGTGTGTGTATTCCTAAACATCATAAAGAAGCACCCAACCACTATTCTATTAATGGTCTAATGCATTTTGAGGAGTAGTTTTCTGTATTTTTTCTTGTAATTATCTATAGGATGGCATAGTTTTAAAAGTTGTTGCCAATTATTACAGGTTCAGAAACTTTCTGAATGAATACAAGTTTCTTAAATGGTGCCTTATTATACAAGAACCAGCAATAATGTATCTGGTGGAGGCCAGTGAAATGATCCGGTAGGATAAGGAAGAACACCGTTGCCTCCAAGCTTTGGGATTTAATGGTGGAAGTTGTCCCTCAAGCTGTCCTCTGATCTGCACATGCTATGACACACCTTCAAGCTTGTACACACACAGAGAAAGTAAATAAGATACACCCATGCACACACAGGCACGTGCACACACACACATGTGCGCGCACTTCGTAATTTAAACATATAGCACAAGAATTCATGTTCTGCTTTTTATTCCAGCTCTGAACCATTCCTTCAGTGATTTCCTTCTTTTAATAATGAATTCGTGAGAAGGCACATGCACATGTCCCAAAACAAGCAAAAACAACAACAAAAAACAAACCCTAAGTGATTTTATATCAGTGTCTTAGGAGTTGAAATGCAACAATTTTCTCTGGTGTCACAAAAAAATGAATAATCTAGTACTAAAGAAATAAGAGACATCTCCAAACAAAACAAACAATAAAACCACATGCCTTACCTTAAGCTTGCGCCGAGCGTTGAACTCTTGGAGCTTCTTCTGGGCAGTATCCATGTGTACAAAGTTGGCCGCTTTACCTGTGACCCATGGGTGCTGGAGGGCTTGAAATGTAGTCAGCCGTTTCTTGGGATCCAAAACAATCAGCTTTCTGACCTGCAACCATAAAGAAATACGGACTCAGAGAAACTGGAGTTGCCTTCAGACTGTGAATGTCCAGGTATTACTCTACCTATTAGCAATAGCACTAAGTACGTGTTTTTTGAACGTGCTTACACTGTCAAGAGAAGGACATGTCTCAGGAAAGCAGCAGCTGAGGGGCGTCCTGGAAGACTGGGCCACTTACCACCTGTAGGCCCAAACTCCCAGATTACTTTCCACAGAAGTCAAAGAATAGGGTCCTGGTTTGTCTACTAACCAGATGCCTTTTGAAGGCACAACCAGCACTGGAATAATTCTAGGCCACACTATGAAGTCACTTAGAATTCAGAACTCAAACTTGATCTCTCTAGAATAGTCATTCAGGCATCATCGTTCCTTCGGAGGATTAAGTGGCCAATAACAGGGATAGTGTTCAAGCCCTTACTGAATACTATTCTATGACTCTCGAGACTGATAGTTCATTTTCTGTTAACTCACTGAAAGCACTTGAAGGATTAAGTTCTCAGCTGGAATACAAGACGCTTTAGGACGAAAAGAAGGAAGGCTTATGACATGTATGCTATGACAAAAGTCAATTAATGGTAATTCATTCTGGAAGCTTCACCCTTGTTTGTGAAAATGGGAAGACAATGAGTTGCCATGAAGATCAACAAATGAAATAATTTCCAGCCTTGGGCTCAGAAGCAGTGGCCTGGTATGAGGGAGAGGCCACTACCTGGACTCAGGGAGGCTCACGTCCTGGTTATGTCTCCAAACCACTCTACAGTCACAGACACACATGGACCGCGAACTATTAGCTCCGACCAATCAGTGAAGAACAGAAAGATGTTCAAAGGCCTTAGCTACTAAGGTCAAATGGTTGGCAATCAGTAGAGCTTGGATTCAAACTCAGATCTACATCGTGTGAAGCTCATCCTGTGTGCTCAACAGGAGGACTCCAGAGTCCCGAGAGAACTGGGTCATGTAAAATAAGACCAGGAAGCAACACAGATAGAAAAGGGAGGAGTACCTAGAGGGCTGGCTGAGTCCTTCAAAAGGGGCTCTAGAAACTTTGTGAGTTCTGATAGTACCTTTCTGCTAGTAGTCTTTGTAAACTTGGGCTCACTTAGCAAGTTCTTAACTAGAAAGTGCCTAAAATCCCCTTTAACCATTAATGATTCAAAAATCAACTCCATCACTTTGACACATTTCTTTTTTTCTCTCCAGAGGAATTATGGTTACAATTGTATACAAGCAGTTTCAATTGTACAAAAGCATCCTTCTACTAGAAGAGGCAGGGCTCTCTCTTGAAGGGATTTCTTGAATATTAATGAGCTTCAGGGTTAGCTTGAATGCGAAACAGGGCAAAGCAAACCATAAACCATTCTATTAATAGAGAAGATCTTGTTTATAATTCCAGTAGTGTATAATAGGGCTCACTACTGTTGAGTATTTTAATAAGTTTAAAAACTTTTGAAAATTCAGTTACACTTATTTTAAGTACATCTACATTTAGGTGAATAAGCCACATTAAAGTAGAATTCTGTGTGAATGGTGTTTAGACTCCATAGCATAGCTATGTGTTATTTGAAAGGCTTTCTATAAGCCACCATGTGGTTGCTGGGAATTGAACTCAGGACCTCTGGAAGAGCAACCCAGTGCTCTTAACCTCTGAGCCATCTCTCTAGCCCGCTGTCTATTTACCAGGTAGCAAAGAGTCTGTAACTAATACTTTTATGATGGTTCAGCTAAGGAGGACTGAAGAGGTATCTATTTTCATTCTTCACAAGGAATATGCACCGGAATTAGAATAATTTAAAGTTATGAAGAAACGAATGATGTCAAAGCACCTATTTTAAAATGTCTTTTACTATTTAATTAAAAATTGTTCATCTCATTTTTGTTTGGGTCACACTTACCAAGTCCTTGGCATTTAAAGATACTTCATCCCACCAGGGGGAGATGAAGTAATATTCGCAATTCAGAATTCTCCTGAACATGAACTGGTCACCTCTTTCATCATAGAATGGTTCAAATCCACAAAGTCTGGAGGGGAAAAAGGACAGACTCAGACACTTAAAAGATGAGATAGATCTCATCATATTTCCACAAAAGTTCAAGATCTTACTTTCTATATTCCCTACAAGTAACTCCACCTATACAAGTGTGTGATTATTATAATTTATGGCAGATAACATAAAAACACAGCCTCGCCTGTAGGAAGTAAGAATAGTGAAAGCAAATTTGTTTTCAAAGCTACAACAGGCACAAAAATACAATCAAGATGACTGATGTTATAGGCATTATGGTAATTATTTTTCCAGCAGATTTTTCTTGAAAAATTAAACTATTAGATAGATTGGTAGGGCTCCAATTTAGCATAAAATGGAAGAGTTAAGAATTCAGGTTTAAAAGTAAGACAGAAATAGTAATCCACAAAAATTAGTAGAAGTCTGATATTTGCATATATTATTCTAGTTTGGATTTCAAACCAAAGCAAAATGAAAATAGAGCTATTAATTCAAAATAAACTTATATATACATACATACATACATACAAACACACATACATACATACATACATACGATGTCTGACCATATTCACCTACACTTTCTACTATAGGGTCAACAGAAAAAGAAACTGTGAAAATGGGAAAGCACCTTGGATACCTTAAAAGAGAGGGCAGGGAAACTGGAGTCTGCTCTGAGGTTTCTCACCCTGCACGGGTGACACACAAGCGGGCCGTTCTGGATGACAGGTGGGAATGGCAGCTCAAACTAATCAGTGGTCTTTCCAGGTCGCCTCATGGGCTGCGGATGGGGAAGGACTCAGTTTTCTTTAAGGGGCTGGGCACTGGAGCTGGTCATGTTCCAGTGAGTACGTGGGCCACGCAAATTAGACTTGGTGGTCTTCCTTCCTTCCTTCCTTTCCCTTCCTTCCTTCCTTCCTTCCTTCTCCTCCTTCCTTCCTTCTCCTTCCTTCCTTCTTATTCTTTCCTTCCTTCCTTCCTTCCTTCCTTCCCCTTCCTTCCTTCTCCTCCTTCCTTTCTTCTCCTTCCTTCCTTCCTTCCTTCCTTCCTTCCTTCCTTCCTTCCTTCCTTCCTTCCTTCCTTCCTTCCTTCCTTCCTTCCTTCCTTCCTTCCTCACCTTGACCCTCCTAGCCTCCCTAACACTGGGAAAATGTTGCCTGCTACTGGAGAAAGCAGTCAGCTTATTCGGGAGGGTCCTTAGGTTTCCCATTCTGAAATCCAAAGTCAATAATAATTTAAAAGTGACAGTCCTCATATGACCTCCTCACAGTCACGCCATGGTTCTTCTTTGGTGACAGAGGCAATCAGTTGCTATCATGTCAGACTGAAAGGTCGAAATGGAGGAGCTGCAACCCAGAGTGGCCCCGTGTGCGCACACGCGGTGCCCAATGCTCCCTCGGGGGTACTGTAATGGGAGTTCAGGAAGTCACTTGGGATTGCACAGGGCCTGACTTGTGAATGCTTTACACAGGGTGCCTCCAAGTCTTTGGGATTAACTGCAGCGCTGAAGCCTGAAGGAGACGGTCTGAGTGTCTAAGTGTACAGGGCCACCTGTCTGGTCACTGTGGTCATCAGATGGCAAACGCTACAGCTCTCGAAGGTGCAAAGCAATCCGTCGCAGGCCTTTGTTTCCAAACTAAAGTCATCTTTGGAAACAGGGAGGCACGGCACCAAACAGGTGGTGTTGAGCAGAAAACTTAAGAGTTAAGCGTATTAAAGCAGCAGTTGTCACAAGAGGACGGGCGAAGGGGGCAGAGGTGTCCGTGTCAGTAGGAACTAGGGGCTGGAGAGATGGCTCAGCTGGTTCAGTGAGGAAAAGTCCCGGACAGTCTGCTTGCCAACCGGTTCAGCCAACTTGGCGAGCTATCGGTTAGCGACAGAGACCCTGCCTCAAGAATGAAGGACAGTCCCAGAGAAATGATGCCTCAGGCTGTCCTCTAGCCTGGCGAGCATACAAGTGCATGCGTATACACACGTGTGCACCCTCACACACAAACATGCGAGCACACAAAATAAAATAGCAATGCTCTGTGGATGAGTTTATGAAAAGATAAAAGCCCAGGGTTTGTGTACATGGATAGAAGCGGGCCTCGTGTGGACGACGAGGCCGAGCTTAGATGTCTACGTGGCCTCAAGTCACCAGCCCTCCACCAAGTGGGCATGAAGGCTAAATAAAGGGGACACGTGGGTCCAATGGTAGAGCCCACGGATACGCCAACGGTCCTTGCCGGGTGGGCTTCACCTGCGTATGAAGTGCGGGTAAGTGAAATGACCACAGGCTCGGGGCCGACAGAAGGGGGCAACTGAGGCTGGGGGCCGACAGAAGGGGGCAACTGAGGCTCGGGGCCGACAGAGGCGGGCAACTGAGGCTCGGGGCCGACAGAAGGGGGCAACTGAGGCTCGGGGCCGACAGAAGGGGGCAACTGAGGCACGGAGCCGACAGAGGCGGGCAACTGAGGCTCGGGGCCGACAGAAGGGGGCAACTGAGGCTCGGGGCCGACAGAGGGGGGCAACTGAGGCTCGGGGCCGACAGAGGCGGGCAACTGAGGCTCGGGGCCGACAGAGGCGGGCAACTGAGGCTCGGGGCCGACAGAGGGGGGCAACTGAGGCTCGGGGCCGACAGAGGGGGGCAACTGAGGCTCGGGGCCGACAGAGGCGGGCAACTGAGGCTCGGGGCCGACAGAGGGGGGCAACTGAGGCTCGGGGCCGACAGAAGGGGGCAACTGAGGCTCGGGGCCGACAGAGGCGGGCAACTGAGGCTCGGGGCCGACAGAAGGGGGCAACTGAGGCTCGGGGCCGACAGAGGCGGGCAACTGAGGCTCGGGGCCGACAGAGGCGGGCAACTGAGGCTCGGGGCCGACAGAGGGGGGCAACTGAGGCTCGGGGCCGACAGAAGGGGGCAACTGAGGCTCGGGGCCGACAGAGGCGGGCAACTGAAAGTCAGGAGTCATGAGTGGCGCTGTCGTTTCCGTCCATGGCCTACTACCGTCGGCCTACGTGTGCGAAAATATGAGAAATACAAACACGAGTTTGCCTGATTTGGTGACGGACTAGCGAGGCGGAAGTTGTTTTCAGGGACACGATCTCATTTCCTGCTTCCTTCCCCATGACGGTGGCCTTTCCGTGGGGTTTACTTATCGCGTATTGCGGTTGTTCCGAGTGGATGTGAAACTTAATGCTCTGTTTCCGTGTCCCTCAAGTTCTCTCACAGGCGTCAACCCTTCAGGGTACATTTCGACCCAAAGTTCTAACCAGGGACACACACATTTTAAGAGACGGAAAGGAGGGGTGCTGCTCGCTGGCTTGCTCCCCCGGGCTTGCTCTGCCTGCTTCCTGAGAGAACCCAGGACCACAGCTCAGGGATGATAGCACTACCTCACCATGGGCTGGGCCTCCCCCATAATCACTGACTAAGAAAATGTCCTCACAGCTGGGTCTTATGGAAGCATTTTCTCAGTTGAGCCCCCCCCCCCTTTCAGATAACTCTATCTTCTGTCAAGCTGACATAAAACTAGCCAGGAGGGTGTAGTTTGGGTTTTTCACTTCCTATCATGGAGTATCTCTTCTTTGGTTTCTCAAGGCAGGGTTTCACTACGTATCTCTGGCTGTCTTGGAGCTCACTCTGTAGACCAGGCCGGCCTCAAAGTCACAGAGATCCGCACACCTCTGCCTCCTGAGTCCTGGGATTAAAGGCGTGCGCCGGTACACCTGGCATCACGAAGTGTTCTTGCACAAAGCTCAGGAACAGGGATTCTCTCTCTGCCATGTGGGGACCCAGTACAATGGACCCTTTCTGAAACCCCAGAAGTGGCGCCTCCTCGGAGCCCAACCCTGCAGCCACCCTGACCTCAGGTGTCCAGCCTCCGAGGCTGTAAGAAGGTAAATGTTTCTATTTAAAAGCCACTCTGCCACGCATTGGGTGAGGGTAGCTCACCTATGATAATCGGCTCTTCGGAACCCTGGGAAATTTCTCTGCACAGTTGCATATTATGGGTTTCCCAAAACTAACAGCATTCCCTTCAAAAACGGCCTCTGAGTGTGCCTGCATCGGCCGCTGAGTGTGCCTGCATCAGCCTCTGAGTGTGCCTGCATCGGCCGCTGAGTGTGCCTGCTGTGCATTGACTCTTGGGTGCACTGATGTTTGCTTTGGGCTTTCTACAAACACCTTCGATGGTTTCCCGCACTATTACCTCCAGATCCATCACCGCTTCGTAGATTTCCTGGTTATTTCTCATTAGACAGTATCTCCGTGATGGAGTCGGAGAGAGCAGAGAATGAATTACCACCTCCTTTTATTCAGGGTTAAGCCCAAGGCCCTTGGGGTCTTAACATACAGGAAAATAAACCAATAGGTAAACATGCTTGAAATATTCTGATGAGAAGCATGCTGGTCTGGGATTTAAGAGACAAATAACAGACCTCCTAAAAGGGCCAACAGTCTGTTTGGCAAGATGCCAATGAATAAAAGGGGAGAGTGTGACAGGTGGACTTAAATTTCACATTTATTGTGATCATTTAAACATTTCCCCAAATGTGGGTAATACTGTATAGGAAAAGCCCTGAACAGCTTTTACCCCTCGGGGAATGATATGGTGAGAAGCAATACTGGCGGTGGAACTACGCTATTGGCACAGGTAGTGTGAAGAGGAATGTCGCATCATTTGAGACTACGTTATCAGTTATCAGCGTGGTTACTGCAGAAAGGGACATCACACAAAGGCAAAGGGGAACCTTGGCTGTCATGAGAATTATTAGTTCACAGAAAATGCTATGCAGAGTCTGTTTGTATAAAGGTCGCTTTCCGTCACTTACAAGATATAGGTGATTATTCCTACAGACCACATGTCCACCTCGGGTCCGTAGGCACAGCCTCGGAGGATCTCAGGGGCTGCAGAGAGAAGGAAAACAAGGTTCAGTTTGGGGCATGCCCTCAACACTCACATCTTAATTGCAACCAACGGGGAGAAAGATATTCCCAACCTGAACTTCAGAACTCTCACCACCCATCTTCCCTCCTGTAACCACAGCAGAGTGAACAAACTCTCACCTCTGTCTCTGCAGGCGACGCTGCTGTCTTTGTCATGGGTGCAGGAGAGTGACCTCATTCTGTATTGCAATGCCATGATATGGCTCAAATAAAATGGGTAGGGGTATGTCTTTGGTATGAAAACCCCTCTTACTCAAAGGGCACTTTACACATAGACAAGGAAGAAATGAGCTTTCAGTGGTTAAGGGGAAAACAGGCAACACTGGGCTTCTTGGAAATTGAGAACGACTTGAAGCAGTGGGTATGCAGGGAATGCATGTCTGGGGGCAGGGCAAGGGCCAGAGCAGACTATGGGAAGGATATGCAAAACTCTAGCACTAGGAGGTTGCCATAGGAGCAGGAAAGTGCTGCCACACGTCTTAGCCTTGACTGCTGTATGTCAGTCCCCAAGGAAACACTGTCACCGGTGTTCTTGAAGTCATGACCTGAGAAAGGAGGGTCTTCTCTATGCATAGTAAGATGTATTCTATTAGCTTGACCTACTGTTTGGATAGGAAGGCCTTCTCAGCCTTGGCACGGCCCTGGAGAGAAGACTATAATGATCCTTTACATTTTCATTACCAGAGGGATGTGGAAAATAGAAGCTGACTGGGTCTAGTGGTTTGCACTGAGTTCTGGGGTGTGTTGTTTACCTAACTTCACAGAGGAAGACCAAGAGAAGCAATGCACCACTATCTGCAGAGATGTGGGGTCTATTAGCCCACAGAGTACTCTTCAGTGCTGCAGATACCGCTGGGGCCCCTAAAGGATGCATGCTGAGGGTCTCTGCAGTATGTCAGCTGGACCCGAGCACCACACTCCTCTGGATGGAGCCTCTAGAATCAGTGTTGGATCTGCTGTCTTCACTGGAAGGACATCCATCTAAACCAGCAGTTCTCAACCTGTTGATCATGAACCCTTTGGGCGAGGGGAGGCGGTGGGGGGCATTGAATGATCCTTTCACAGGGTTCACCAAAGACCATTGGAAAACACAGATATTAATATTATATAATGGTAGCAAAATTAGTTATGTATCAGCAACAAAAATAATTTTATGGTTGGGGTCACAGCAACATGAGGAACTGTATTAAAGGGGCCACAGCATCAAAAAGGTTGAGAACCACTGGTCTAGACTATTAACATGAGCCCTGGGAGGAACCTGTTTTCAATGGCTCTGGGTTTACTGTAAAGACTGTTGTGGGTTTTCCAATGGTGGCTTTCAGAGGCACCCTGCACTCAAATCCTCCTTCTGTGTAGAATTGTGCTATGCAAAATAGAGAAAAATCGATAGCCAAGCCCACCAAACTGTGAAAGGGGATATGTGCCAATAGAATAAGCACCCAAATCAGCAAGATCACCCTTCGAGGAGCTGTATCCGGATCCCAAAAGGTTTACTTATCTACAGTTGAATACAAGTATTCCTAGGAGGGGGGAAAATGTCCTTTTAAGATTTGATAAAACTAGGAGGAATGCCTCCCCGGTGTGTTTCACTTTCCCTGTAGAATAACTTTCATTTCCTGGGGGAGTTTGCACCTCTCAGAAGGAGTCCCAATAGAGGACAGAGACACCACCCCGCCCCCCACCCTGCAGGTGCTGTGTTTAATCCCAGGCAACTCCTGCAGGGCCACTGTCACCGCCTCCCAGGGCTGGTCCAAAGTGGAACAGGGAGAATAGCAGGAAGTTCGGTTTGCACGGTGAGTGGTGTGAGCCCTTGCCCACGCAGGCCCTGAGAACCCGGTGAGAACCCCATATTGATGCTGGCAGACGCTTTTACACTCCCTGAGAACTTGGTGCTTTTGTTAGCTTGTTCCTTTAAGCCTTCAAATCTAAGTGAACCGGGCTAGCTCTGATTGCCAAGTTCACTGGGAGTTTTAGCCTGAGATTTATTTAGTAAGTAGTTAGCTACTGATCCTGGAGGAAGAGGGGCAGAGCAGCGGGAGCCATGCTCCCCACAGGGCCTGAGCCATCTCTGTCCTGTCCTGACACCAGTGAAGTCAAAGCTGAGGCAAGGGTCGGGTGGTCTCCCCTGCTCTCTCTCATGGCACCCAGCCGAGAGCCTGCAGCTTGCGAGCACGTGGGAAGGAAGTCCCCTCTGCAACCCTCTGCACAGCAGCTGCAGTGTGCGAGCACGTGGGAAGGAAGTCCCCTCTGCAACCCTCTGCACAGCAGCTGCAGTGTTTGCCCCACACAGCAACATCTGCTTTCTCTTCAGACCACGGTACAAACCTCCCTCCAGACTATTTCTCCACAAGGCATTCGCCTGCACTGAGTCAACTTTGGGGGTTAACGGCTAACTGAGGCAAAGGGAGGGTAAGATGTTCTTGTCTTCTGTAATACATTTCTTGATAAAGGAAGGAACTTACAACATTTTTTATTTGGAGGAAGGGGCAGGTCTCTTTGTGTAACCTTGGCTGGCCTCGAACTCACTTTGTAAACCAGGCTGGCCTCGAACTCACAGAAATTCACCTGCCTCTGCCTCCGATGAGCTTGAGTACCAGAGTTAAATTCATGTGCTACCACCGTGCACCCTAGAATTTATAATGTCTTAACTCCAATATAAAACTGAGGTCAAATGAAGTCTAAATCAATTAGATGTTTTAAATAGTATAAAATCTAAATCAGCTAACCATCTTAAGCAGTATAAAGTATTTTCAAATACTAGTTGGCATGACCTTGGCTGTCTCTGGAATCAGCTGGCATCACTTAAAACCTATTTGAACCCTTTATGTAACAGAAAGCCTCCTCCAAAAGCTTTTCAACATCAATTTCGGGTTCTGGCACACCAGTCTCCAAGTCTCCCAGGTATCAGATGTCCTCACAACTGAATCTAGCAATTTGATGTCTCCTGAGAGTAAGAAACAACGGGGAAGCGGTCAGCTAATTTCTATCGGGTAAGGATATCACACCTGTAATCCAGCACTAGGAAGTGGGAGGCAGATGGACCAGAAACTCAGGGTCACCTTCTACACATCATCAGAGTTTGGAGCCAGTGGGGACTATAGGAGACTGGATCTGAAAACAAAACAAAAGCCAGCAGGAGGACATCCTCCTGCCTTCTAAGGCCCCTGAATACTCAGCAGGACTTCACATTTTCTCTCACCCAATCCCCAAAGCAAACAATAAAATCTAGTGAGACAAAGTCCTTCCAGGGCATAAACGTTTGATGAGCTTATGTGGCCAGGCACATAGTGGCACACTCAGCTAGTGTGCGGAAGGCCAGGAGCGCCACACACTGAAAGAGGAGACAGATTCCAGATGACGGACAGTCAATCATCATTTCTGATGACAATCATAATTGCGTCTTCCTGGCTGTCTTCTAAGTGACCTGAAGCCGCCTGCCGCTTTCTAAAATTGGCTTCTCATTCAAATTATCACCCACAAAACTGCTGTTACAGAGCCCCTAGCACACAGGCCAGCCCACTATCAGGACAGCTGAGCCTGAGCAAACCTTCTGAGGATTCTCTGAATGTCAGGCACATGCTTTAAAAAAATCAATTTGGGTGGTATATAAAAGCTACGACACTGTATGGTTTTTGTTCACTACCTTCTAGGTCACAGTGGTAATTTTTTCAGTTAGGTGATAGCATCATTAAAGCATCTAGAGATTGAAGATCCACCACTTAGAAATTGTGACGGATTCAAACAAAAGCACTGCAGCCAGGTCTGGAGATGACATGTAGCTTCTTACTGTGGCCACAGGCGCTAGGCTGCCCCCCTTTTCCAGGGGCCCTCGGAGAAAGCTACTGGCACAATTTTGGTTCTCAACTCCTGCCAAAAGACCCCATCATCCTTTCCTACCGACCGGGGGCTAAGACTTTTCAAGCTACTATCAACTATTTTGACTAAAGCAGATATGAAGTAAACTAAGAAGAGCGGAAACAAAGCATGTATGCATGCACTCATTCAGCAAGTCATCAGACATGCATGCACTCATTCAGCAAGTCATCAGACATGCATGCACTCATTCAGCAAGTCATCAGACATGCATGCACTCATTCAGCAAGTCATCAGACATGCATGCACTCATTCAGCAAGTCATCAGACATGCATGCACTCATTCAGCAAGTCATCAGACATGCATGCACTCATTCAGCAAGTCATCAGATGCAGGCACTCATTCAGCAAGTCATCAGACATGCATGCACTCATTCAGAAAGCCATCGGATATTTACTAAGCACTTGCAACATGGTAGACACATGGGAAATCATAAGGAGCTGAAGGCAGCAAGTCCCAACCACAGTATAAATTATGGCTGGTCAAAAAGGTAAAGTTAATTAAAAATAAGCCATAGGAAGAGATGCAAGGTGGCTGCTGGCTGTCCCTGGAAGAGGACGTCTTCCATAGGGGTTACCAGGGTCACACCGGTCATGGAGGACACAAAGTTCAAACTGACGTGTGCTAACCTAGGGAAGTGGGGAGAAGGTGACTGGCCAGAGATGGCAAAGACATCTTCACGTGTAATAAGCAGCTGTGCAATCAATGGTCCACACAGGAAGGAGCAAGGCCTGCCTGACGACTTCTGTGGGGCTGAGGCAGGGTTACGATCTCCAGGGAGGCGGGTCAGCACCAGCAATTTTCTTTGTTATCAAATCTCTCCTCTATGTTTGCTTTAGCAAGTCAAAGCACATGGCGGTAAGGAGCACAATTCTGTGCACCTTAAAGCTTGAGCCTGACTTGGCCCCATTCCAAAGCTCAGGGGAAAACGCCGCCGAAGTCTTCACTGGAAAGCCTTGCCTTGAATTGAAAGGAACTTCTGGGAGCCACCAAAGTCCGGCATATTTTCCCTTTTTCCCACATGTGTGTAGGGACGCGTGTGGGGCAAGTGCACACCTATCCATGTGAATATGTGCAACTCAGAGGA